ATAATATAAATGACGTTTAATTCTAACCTCACACTTTTTTTTCAAAAATTATTTTTATTCCATTATCGGTTTTCCTCATATTTATAATCAGTGAATGCTGATCAGTGATGTGCCTGTAGACAATGTCAACGTAAACAATTGATTGTCTACGTGTAGACAATTCGAATTGTTTACGTGGGCATTTGTCTACAGTCTACATGTGACGTGAACAATAAACTTATTTTAAAAAATTTAAAAAAAAGTTCCAAAATTACTACTACCTAAGTAGCTTATACCTATCACTTTGATATCAGCATTCACTGATTATAAATATGAGGAAAACCGATAATGGAATAAAAATAATTTTTGAAAAAAAAGTGTAATGTTAGAATTAAACGTCATTTATATTATTTTACATTGTTGACATGTTGTCTACATTGTCTACACGTAAAGTAGACAATGAATGTCTACGTGAACGTGTAGACGCACATCCCTGATGCTGATATCAAAGTGATAGGTAAAATGTGTTTTTTTTTTAAAGATAAAAGTCAAAGTGACATTATGTTGGCAATACAATGTAAAATTGTCAATGCTTTCAAATTATTTATGTAGGAAAGGCTTGTGTTGCCAACATAGTTACTAAATTTTTGACTTGGGGAATTATCTTTAAAAAAAAAAACAGACTTTATAAGCTACTCAGGTAGTAGTAATTTTGGAACTTTTTTTTAAATGTTTTAAAATAAGTTTATTGTTTACGTCACATGTAGACAATGTGTAGACAAATGCCCACGTAAACAATTCGAATTGTCTACACGTAGACAATCAATTGTTTACGTTGACATTGTCTACAGGCACATCACTGTTTGGAACTACTGTCAAGATTATCGTTGAGCGCATGCTTATTATTAATGATCAACTTGGTAATCCATACCACGCCTTTGCAAACCAACCAGCCGATATTTTGAATTTTTTTTGAGGTTGGTTAGAATCAATGAACTATAGCCAAAAACTGGAATGCGCGCACAGTGCCATATCTGCCCAAAAAATGAAGCCATGAAAGACAGATGCCACGGGATGCCACAAGGGGGAATGTTGTTTTTTTCTGTTGCTCGCTGACATATGACGTTTTCGAAAGTTTTGTCATATTTTCCTTCACAGGTTTCATCAATTGGAATACGTGTTGGAAGCAATTTTCGCCATTTAACATACTGAGTGCGACAAAAACAGGTATCCCCTCCGCAGCAGCTGCACTAGGCTTCACGTTCTTCCTTAAGGCGGTTACACACGGACGTGGATGTCTGAAAACATGTACGCACATACATGAACGCGCAAACAAAAACATCAATGTGTAAAGTCAGTTGCATGGTTCTTGAACTGCGCAGTCTGAAGAGGCAGAGGGGAAAATTCGTCATTGCGGCGTTGTCATATCAATAATAATAATACATGAAAATTGCAATAAAATCTCCTTCGTCTTCGAAATATGGAGAATACTATTCTTCAAATCGAATAATATTCTAAAAATAACATAAAAATATAATGATACCATAATTAATATAATTTAAACATTCATTTTATCCATTTAATAAATCATACATCATTGAAAATCCATTTTTTTTTTCCGAAATCCGGCATCACTGAGATCACTTATGTGGAACGTTTCGAATCGAGCCGTACTCTCCCTATGTAAAATAGGAAAAAATGAATGAGCGATTGGATCCCACCACAACCAGGCGATGGCGCCGTCGCCGCCGTCAGCTTACAGTGACTTTGTGGCGACAACAATTTAACGTTTTATGCGTGTATCTAACGTCAAATTGTCGAAGCAATGTCAAAAAAGAGCGAATTTCGCGCAACCAAGAAGGCTTGGGCGGGTGATTATAAAACTATTTTGACAAATAGCTAAAAGTTAACTTCTGGGAATGACTGTCTCTGGGTGTGACGTCATTCTAGAAGTAAACTTGTAGATATTAGAGAGTTCTCGTGCTGTCCAAATTTCAAATACCGTAACGTTATTTGACAAGTATGACAGTTCTTAGGGTATTAGCGTTAGCGGAGCCCACTACCTAACGGGAGTTATCGGATGACATACCGTAACGCTATGCTAGGTCAAAATTAGTTTACACTCCATTTTTGTCTCCAAGAACAGCAACTTCTAATAATTTCTCTAGAAAAAACACCAAGGGAAAATTAATGAAACTCAGGATTCTTCAGGGTAAATAAAAGTTGGCAAGCAAGCAAAAAAAGTTGGGTTAGATCACTCAATTCAGCTGTCAAAATATAAACATGATAAGGGATTAGAGGATTTCTGTGTCTTAGTGTCCGAGAACTATAAAATACAATTTAAAATATCGTATTGTTAGCGGTACCGTATTAGCGTAGCGTCTGGGGCACGAGAACTTTTTTATGATAAAAACCTAAAAGTTAACTTCTGGAATGAGATGTGACGTGATTCTAGAAGTTAACTTGTAGCTATTTATTAATAGCTATTTATACAATAAGTTACGAAATGAGCGTCTTTTAGGCACGCGATGTAAAAATTGTCCAACGAGGCAAAGCCGAGTTGGACAACACGTCGAGTGACTAAAAGACAGCGTTTCGTAACGTATTGTATACAAGATTTTTTCTACTGGCATTTTATAATAAAAAAACACAATTTTATTTCAAGTCGATTATCTACGCTCAAAATCTTGGACCTGCTTTTACTTGACACCTGACACTTTTCATGCGATTTTTTTTAAGATTCGACATCAATAATTAAAATCCTAGAAAGTAGGTAACAACTCAAAGTTCTGTTTTGAGTAACCCAAACTTTCAATTCAGTAATTACATTTTTAATATACCGACATAATAAATACAAACCAAAATTCAAATCTGTGTTAAATCTGTGTTTAATGTGTTTTTTATTTCTGAATAATGGATGACACATTCAGGCACTAGTGCTTAAAAATTACTTTTACGCACTCAAAAGTCACTTTCACGCACTTAGTGCTTAAAAGTAACTTTTACGTACTCAGTGCTTAAAAGAATGTCGTTTTAAAACTAAAATGACAATCGAAAAGTTGCTATTATGAAACGTCAGTAGAAAAAATAGTTTTTTAATAGGGCGAGTATTATTATAAAACTATTTTGACAGATAGCAAAAAGTTAACTTGTGGAATTACTATGGGAATTAACGTCATTCCAGAAGTATACCCCTCGTTTTTATTCTCATCGGTGACTTCACCGATGAGTTAGCTATCTTTGTTTAGTGAATGGAAAATGACAATGACGCCCATAGAATGAGAATGGTGGATCAAGGGTGGATCCATCGGTAAAATTTGATGAGAATAAAAACGCAGGGTAACTTTTAAGTTAACTGTCAAAATAGTTTTATAATAATACTTACCCTTAGGGCGGGTATTATAAAACTGCTTTGACAGTTAGCTTAAAGTTAACTTTTTGAATTACATGTAATTCCAGAAGTTAACTTTAAGTTAACTCTCAAAGCAGTTTTATAATACCCGCCCCGCCCTTAATCCCACCAGGGTTAGGATTCTGTAACGGATAGCGATCGTTAGGTATTCCCCCCGCTATATCACTTGCTGTCTTTTTCTCCCGCATCAAAATCAATAAAGAGGGGATGACGATACAGACAGGGTCCTTATTCTTGAAACAGGGGAACAGCGTTCCCAGGGGCCGGATTCTCGTCTGAGTCTGAGAGAGTAGAGGTATTTGAAGAAAAAGGTCTTTGAAGCAAACCCTAAATTTTTCTACGTATCCGTATCCGCATCCGTAAGCGCATCGACTTGACCGTCTAAGTTCTTTTAAGCATGGTCATACATTACGTAAACGATCGTATCCTTGGATAAAACGTTTCCTAACCTCAAAAAGTGTTGTACTGATTTTGTAGCTGTATTTGTAAGTTTCCTTTTTATCTAAAAGTGCTGTGTTTATGTTGTTAAAGATATTTTAGCGATAACCGACAAGAAGATCTCTCAATAATGTCAAATTATTGAGATACGTTTTCTGATACGGATACGAGACGAGGACCGTAAGGATACGGATAACGTAACGCACTCAAATCATCGTATCCATTTTGCGCATGCGCAGTACGATGCGGATACGGTTACGTTCGAAATTCAGGACCTGCTTAAAGTGTCTGTCGCGTGAAACTACGTATTTCTTTAACTTGTGAAAACTTGTTTTATCCTTAGAACCGATAGAACTAATTTAGAATCAATCCGTGGAACAAGTTCTGAGGTAAAAATTAATATGTATGCAAGAGACATTGCTAATAGAATAGCCGCATAAAACTATGCATTTCTTGAACTTGTGGTTCTTGTTAAATCGTTCGAACCGGTAGAAAGTGTGGCTCTTGTTGAATCCTTGAACAAATAGAATTAGCTCAGAATCGAGCCGGAACAAGTTTTAAGGTAAAAGTAAAACCGAATTTTCGCGACGAATGTAGTTCATCCAAGGACGAACCATAGTTCATCTGTGACGTCATGAGTTTGAACGATAACTAGAAGCTGCATCCATGCTTCCGTCGAACTACGTTCAATATGGCGTCATGAGTTTCTCGCGAAAACGTTTGGGTTCATGAAATCATGGAAGTAGTTCGTCACGAAAATTCGGTTTTTAATGGGTCTATTGCAACAGGTTGTCATGTAATGGGTAACTTGATGACGTCATATGGGTGCCTTATGTAGATTTGCTTATGTTGTGGCACCCCAGAAGACGTCATAAAAGTTTTCAGGCAACCTAACCTTGGGCCTATTATGAATTATAGTTCCTTTAAAACTGCGCATTTCTTGAACTTGTGGTTGTTGTTAAATCCTTAGAACCGAACCGATAAAGGTAGTTCCTAGTTCAGAATCGATCTGGAACCAGTGTTTGTTGAACTGCGAATAAAGAACTGTATTTGAAAATAAGAATTACTACATTTGAACTGCGCATGCGAATATAGTTCCGGCCCAATTCTGTAATGTAAATCTTTACCTGAATAGAACGGATCTCTTAGTTCGCATTGATTCCGATTCTAGTTTCATGAATTAATTTTAACACATTCGACATATTTATGAGAAGGATACCGATAAATCGATAATGGCCTCGAGCAAGACAAATTAACAAAAAAGTGATCTAAAAATTTAAAAGTGATATAAATGAGCTCAGTACGGTCCTGTTTTATTCACGAACGTACCCCGAATTCCTTTACCTCAAATGACAGCAACAGCAAGGCAAATCCAGTCTGACCAACCGCACAAAAACGAAATGTCAACAACCCAAACCAAAACAACAGTAAAAAAATAATATGAATGAGAAAAGAGAGGCGAAAATGAAATGAGGAAGGCGAAGTGAACGTTTAAATAGATTGTTTTGCGGAAAATTGTGAAGATTTCCATCTAGATGGAAAACGGAATGGACTGCGAAGACTCGTCAGAGGTCCAGGAAGTGGAAACAAAACGGATAAGATTGCTACGACCTCAGACTTTGCAGCCCAAGAAAAATGTTTGTGCCAAAGAGGAAAGACATGCTAATTTAAGAAAGGTAATGAATGACGAAACCTTGATTAGACTAATTAACATTCACTTTATCTCATATTACGCAGTAAGTTTGTTTTTATATTTAGTTTTAAGTTATTCAATTTAATTTAAGACTTGATTGTTTATCAATGAATAAAATTCTTTAGGTGTCCCTCATACTTCAAAAATCTGAACACGACCGCAACCCAAAAGACCTAAAAACCCTCAGCGAATGTTCGGACATGATCGAAGAAGTCCAAGAAAGAATAAAAAAAAGAGAGGCAGTTAAAAAACGTTTAGAAGAATTTGAAGATCCAGAAGACGTTCTTATGCAAAAATGCCAAATCCTTGCCCAAGCCATTGCCCAATCTCAGCATCTGGTTGTTTACACCGGAGCCGGGATCAGTACTGCTGCTAAAATACCTGATTACAGGGGACCTGATGGGATTTGGACTAGACTCAAAGAAGGCAGAGATATTGGGTAAAAATTGTTAAACAAAAAAAAAATATATTTGCCTATAAACAATCATTGTAGGGATCATGATCTTTCCTTAGCAGAGCCCACTTACACGCACATGGCCCTGTATGAGCTCTACAGGCAAAAAATATTGAAATATGTAGTTTCCCAAAACTGTGATGGACTTCATTTGAGATCAGGGCTTCCTAGGGGTGCCCTGTCCGAGTTGCACGGAAATATGTACATTGAAGTTTGTAAAAGTTGTAAACCTCACAGAGAGTATTGGAGATTGTTTGATGTTACTGAAAGCACTGCCAGATTTGCTCACAAGACTTATAGGTAACAATTTCATAGTATGAATTGAATAGATGATTTAAGAAATTGTTTTAGGAGATGTTATATTTGTAATAGTGCTTTAATTGACACTATAGTTCATTTCGGGGAAAGAGGTAGTCTTCAGTGGCCTTTGAATTGGAAGGGAGCCTGTAAAAATGCCAAGGAAGCTACAACAATCATTTGTTTAGGTATGTTTTCTATCAGATTTAAATTATTTCCACGAGGTTTTTGAATCTTTCCTTTAACTACAACTAAAATTTCAAATTGATATTTCAAATAATAAAATAAAAACAAATAATAAAAACAATTATGGGTACTCAGAAAAAAGATTTTACAGAACTTACTTGTGATACTTGTGAGGCTTCATGTTATTTTAAAGAAGATAAAAGCCTGTTGTTTGGATATCATTGTAACAGGTGCAATAAAGTTTCTTGTAAATTATGTAGTGGGATTTCCGCACAAGAAATTCGATGCTCTCTAGCACAGAGAAAGATGGTATTGGTGTGGTGCAGAGACTGCTTAGATCATTATACAGCAAACGAAGCTACTAACAGAGATGATATTGTCTCAGGTCTAAACCTTGATCAGTTCAAAAACTGTATTGGTGCCGCAGTCAATGAAGCAGTATATAAAGTATTCAAAACTTTTGAATTAACCATAAATAACAAACTAAATATGGTGTCTCAAAAAATCGATGATTCCATGAAAGAACTGGTTGAAAGTTTGATGAATCAACAGTCCAATGGGATAAAGCAGGGTATTGATTCTGCATCGGAATGTGTTTCAACAGATTCTATTGCAACAGTCCAATGTGGAAAGCCCCCCATGCCAAATGGCTTAGACATTCAATTTGCAATCAATCACAATCAGGACACAAATCGTGTAACAGCTAGTCAAGTGTCGAGAGCTATAAATCAGGTAATGATTGAGGTTAATGATAAAAAGAATAGCGAAGACTGTTTTTCACGTGATTTTCCTCATACTCTGGGTCAGAGAGAGGTTGAAAGCAGACATAGCACACAGTCAATAGTAAATAATCAAAATACTTTGTATGGCAACCCACCTAGTAGAAATAACACTAACATATTGATAAACTCTCAGCCCTGGCTTAAGCAATTACCAGCTAATACTAATAGTTCACAGTTTGGGGTTCTTCCAGGACATAATAATATGTTAAATATGAGTACAATGACTGGTGCTATGAATCAATCCATACTTGCAACTCAGCAGAGGTCAGGGACCCTGGTTGGCACTGGTCAGTCAATTGAGGCATTGAAAATTGTTCCGTTCTCCAATAGATCCTGGCTGTACGTGGGTCGTTTCTCGGAAGAAGTTAGTGAAGATGTGGTGCATGAATTTGTGCAAAATAAACTTAAAGTGGATGATAGCAATCTTTCTGTTCAGAAGCTGGTGGTCAGAAACAGGATGAAATCTTTTAAGCTTGGTATTGCTAAAAACTACTTTGATACTATCAATGATTGTAACTTTTGGCCTCGTGGAGTGGTTTTTAAGGAATTTCAATTTAGACCACGGCAGTTTAGAAATGAGGGAGTGAAGCTGGATTCACAATTGAATGACAGGCAAGATAGAACACCTCGAAATGATCGACCATCAAATTTTGTTCAGGAGACACATATTCTGGCAACAGGGTAGCTCTAACAGGCTACTATCAAAATGTGCGGGGGTTGAGAACAAAACTTACCACCCTTATGTGCAATATTTCCACGGAAAACTATGATTTTGTGTTATTTACTGAGACTTTCCTGAATAAAGACATTTTGTCGAGCGAATTGGGAATGAGTAATTACTTAATATTTCGCTGTGATCGTTCTGATAGAACCAGTGTCCATAAGTCACAAGGGGGTGTCATGGTTGCAGTGAGGAAGTCTCTTAATTGTAGACAGATATCTACTCAATTTGAATCAGTGGAGCACATTTTTGTACTGGTTTCTTTGAAAGAGCATCATATTTTGTTGGGCAATGCTTATCTGCCCCCAGATTCTCCTATAGACTCCTATGAAAGTTACTGCTCATCCGTAACAGCTGCGTTGGAAATATGTAGTAGTTGTCAAAACTTGGAAATCTATTTATGTGGAGATTTTAATAGACCGGATGTGTCCTGGATCAATGATTTGCATGGGACTAGGGCTATTGGTAAACAATCTGAACAAACCACAGAGTTGGCTGACTGCATGGCTTTCCATAGCTTATATCAAGTGAATAATATTTCTAATATTTATGGGAACTTTCTGGATTTGATATTTTGTAGTAATAAGGATGTATGTACCTCAATATCAGCCGATCCACTTTTGAATTTGGACACACCTCATCCTGCTTTGGTTTTTGATGTATTAATTTCAGATAATAATTCTGATAAGTTGGAGTATGATTATTGTTTTCTGGATTATAAGAATTGTAATTTTAGGGATTTAAATGTTTATCTGTCTTGTGTGGATTGGGACTCTTTTGTTGATATGGATGATATAAACTCTGCTGTCGATACTTTTTATAATCAAATTTATCATGCTATTGAGATCTTTACACCCATTTCAAAAAGAAAAACAGCAAAATTTCCAGGATGGATGGATAGTCATTTGAAATGTTTGATTTTGTCTAAAAAAAAGGCACATCAAAACTATAAAAATACTATGTCCGCTCAGGATTATGGAGTTTTTTCAGAAATTAGGAAAGAATGTAAAATTTATTCTCATATCAGCCATAGGAATTTCATTGAGAAAATCGAGTCCGAGACACAGGACAGAAATGGATTTTGGAGATATGTACGATCGAAAAATGAAAATCGTGGATATCCCAGTTCTATGTTTCTTGATGAGCATGAAGGTAGCACACCTCATGAAATTGTCAATCTCTTTAAGGATAGTTTTTCCTCGGTTTATACTGAGGTGAGTGTTGAGAGTGATCGAAACATTCCTGTCTCTAATTTATCTAGTTTGTCCAATTGCAGTATCAGTTCGGTTCTAATTACCCCTCTTGATATATTTAACAAGATACATTCATTGAAGAATGGATTGGGTTGTGGTCCTGATGACATCCCAGTATTATTTGTTAAGAATTGTAGTTGTATTCTTTCAGAAATATTATGTAAAATATTCAATAAGGCTTTAGAGTTGGGACGGTTTCCTGATATGTGGAAATTAAGCTATATAACTCCTGTGTTTAAAAGTGGAGAAAGAAATAATATTAAAAACTATAGGGCCATATCCAGAATGTCTATTTTTTCTAAGGTATTTGAGTCTATAATAACGGATTTTCTTACACCAATTTTGAAACATGTTATTGTACCGGAACAGCATGGCTTTATTAAGGGTAGATCTACATTAACTAATCTTCTGGTCTATGAGGAGGCTCTGTTGGAGGGCTTGGAGAATAAGTGTCAGATTGACTCGGTCTACACTGACTTCTCCAAGGCCTTTGACAGGGTTGACCATAAGATACTATTGGAGAAGGTGGCCGATGTGGGGCTGCGGCTGCATGGAGGTCTATTGAGCTTGATTGGAAGTCTTCTCACAGGTAGAAAACAGGCTGTAAAAATTGAGAATTACATCTCTTCAGTATTTTCGGTGACCTCGGGGGTGCCTCAGGGAGGACACCTGTCTCCTTTGCTGTTTAGTATATTTATTAATGATCTGTCAGGTGTCTTCAGAAATTCCGATTTTTTGCTCTTGGCTGATGACTTGAAGTGTTTTATGGTTGTTCGGGATGTCAGGGATGCTCAATTATTGCAAGTGGACTTGGATATGTTTCGGACTTGGTGTCAAAGAAACAAACTCCCCTTAAATGTTGAGAAGTGTAAGGTTATTACTTTTTCTCGGAAAAAAACACCTTACTTACATAATTACGTTCTTAATGATTTGGAGATTAACAGGGTTGAAACTATTAGAGACTTGGGAGTCTATTTCAACACTAATGTAAGCTTCACAGAGCACATTGAAATAACTGCTAATAAAGCAATGAAATTACTAGGCTTTATGTTCAGGTCACTAAAAGAATTTACTAATATCTACACCCTAAGAAACATTTATTGTGCAATTGTTAGATCAGTTGTAGAATATGCTTGCCCTGTCTGGTCCCCTTATTATGCTGTGCACATCTCCCACTTGGAACGAATCCAAAAAAAGTTTTTAAGATCCATTGCATATCGATTGGGCATCCCAAGTGAATCTATAAATTATAATGAGTTAATGTCTGTCCTAAATCTTGAAAATCTGAACCAGAGGCGACAGTTTTTTGATATGTGTACTTTGTTCAAGATTGTTAATAATTCTATTGATTCTCCAGACTTACTTGCTAGAATTGGCTTACATGTACCATCTAGCAATTTAAGAGGAAACACATTGTTTAACCTTGATTTTCGTAGAACCAATTATGGTTACCATTCACCTTTACTTAGAAGCTGTCGTTCTCTGAATGATATTATTTTGAAGACTGATTTGGATGTTTTTAACATAAGTTTGGATAGATTCAAAAGAATTTTAAAGTCGATCCTAAAATGATCGTTTTTTCTATTTGTATTCAATTTTAAGCGTATTATGTTGTTTATGTTTTGATACCTACTACAAAATATTTGTTTAGGCTTATGTAATATTGTTTTTTTATACTAACTTGTCTGTTGCCTACTTGTTATTCCAAATATTTATTATTGCGAATATTGCGTGTACCTACACTTTAAGTCTACCTTTGTAAAAATGGCATGTCCGTAAATAAAGAATATATTTATTTATTCAAGCCATTTAGGAGAAACACATTAAAATGTCTTGTGTTACATGTTTAAACTATTTGTGCAAATTGATAGATGAAATAATTTCTGAGAAAAAAAAAATGGAAAGTTGATATTTAGTTAATTCCTATGCACACAATAAGGTTGAACACCATAAACAGCTAGCTCTTGGCCTGAGCAATGGAAAACAATTTTTCCCAACTAGATTTTTGTATCTGGAAGTTCTAAGCTCTTAGTCAAAAAATACTCTCATACCTAACAATAATTGTTAACCCTAAGAAATTCTAGACACAAAATCAAGGTTTATTCTATGATCTTCCTCTTGGAGGCTTTACCTAATTCTGAATTCATGGATTCTAGTTTTAGTTCTTTTCCAAATTAATTTTGGTGATCACGTCTCATCTCATCTCTTGCAAATCCTGCAAATAGAAAGATTCAGGAGTCAATTCA